ACTTTCGTGCAGCCTCAAGGTCCTGCAGGTCGAGGGCGAAGCTGAAAACTCCCGCGACGCCCTCCTGCGGACGACGCCACCGCCGCCCAGAACTTGTCGAGAGCCTTGCTGCCCAGCCCGCGCGGCGAATCGCCGCTCAACGAGGCATTCCCGACGGCGCGCTGGGCGACGCAGACGAACAGGGCAGCGAAGGGTGGGCTTGTGCTTCTCCAGTCCTTCTGCTCGCCTCTGCCCCCGTTCTTCCATTGCCTTGGACGTCTCGCCGCGCGCACCGGTGCTGCCGACGCGCGCTGGGCCCCAGGGGCCCTTGCCCTCGTCCACGAAAAAATGCGATAAGCCGCGCTGTCCAGCGTCGCCGTCCTGCTCTCAACGCCCGCGGCCGTCCTCGCCGCGCCGCTGACAGGCGCGTCGCTCGGGCCATTCCTGGCCTTCTTTGCTTGGCCTCCTCGGCGCCAGCCGCTGGTGCAAGGGCGCGCCCTCGCGATGGGGGCGCCGCCCAGGCCGGCGGCTCGGGCGCGCCCTCCCAGGCGCGAGTCGCCGAGAAACGATCGGCGCGCCCCTTTCAAGGCTTGTCCCAGAGAGGCAGATGCGCGACGAGATGCGCGCGCAAGTCGCCGTTGTTTGCCCGGTCGACGTCGCGCGGGGGGCGCGCGCCACTTGCATGCTGGCCCAGCGAGACCCTCGATCAAAGAGGCCCCGCGTGGACCACATTGCCCCCTCAACGTCGCGCTGCGAAGAGCTGGGCGAGATGAAGCGCGCCGCGCCCCTTGTCTCACGTCGGCGCCGAAGATGCGCCGCGGGCCCCCCCTTGCTCGCAGGGCTCGCCCCGCGCTCCACCCTCTCGCGCGCGTGCGCGCAATGGCGGGTCTCGTCGGCGCGCGCGCGCCCCACGCCCCGCCCTCCTCCGCCGCCGCCCCTGGATGGGGAGCGCCCCGGACGAAGACGCAGGCGGTCGCTACTTTGCGGAGGAATTGCCCGGCCGCGCCCCCGCCCCCCCCTCCGAAAGCTCCCCTGGGGGGCGTCGCAGATTCGAGGGCCCGGTCGCCGCGGCCTGGGCGGGCGGCGGCGGCGGCGCTCAGGTCGGAGCGCATCTGCGCGGCCGAGGAGGGCGCAGCGGGAGAAGGGCCGTCCGCGGGGGCGCAGGGCCAGGCAGCGTCGGTGGCGAAGCGGGGCAACGAGAAAAGGACAGCCCAAGTCAGCTCGCCATTTTCTTGGAGCGTCGGGCCCAGGCCCGGCACCGCGAACAGCGCCTCGATCGCAGTTCGCTCCTGCGCGACGCCGCTTGCCAGCGAGGCGACGCCCGAGAATTTGCGCAGGTGCGACGATGTGTCGGCCCGCCCCACGAGCCCCTACCACGCGCGGCAACTCTGCCCAACTTAGCCACGTGACCGCACATCGCACGGCGCCGATGCTCGGTCGAAAAGAAAACCGCCATGGCCGACAGCATCGCGCTCTGCGCGAGCGAGAGGAATCGCGCGCTGCCACCCGCTAAGAACCCACGGCAACCAGACGCCGCCAACGCTGAATAATTCTTGGCTCGTCGCCGCGAAACGCCGCTCTAGCCCCCGCGAAATGACGTGGTGCGGCGAAATCGCTGACCCCGCAGATCAAGCCGCATCAACGCATCTCCCCCCTCTGCAATTCCGCCGCGCCGCAACCATTGTTTGCCGCAGATGTGGGAAACAGCGGCCTGCATGTCTCAATCTTTCATCGTGCTCGTCGCGGCCGGGGCAGTGCTCGAGGCGCCGTCTGCCCGCGTCGGGGCAGAGACCGCCCCGGCGTTAGGCCGCCTGGTCGGGGAGGCAATCGTTCCGCAGATGTCGCCGGCGCGCGAGCAGCGCAAGAGGCCGACGCCTTCGTCGCGAAAGCCCCCGCGCAGCACAGACGCCCCGTCAATGGCATCCATCGCCGCTGCCCAAAACGCAGCTGCGTCGACGAAGGCGCCAGCGAGGGCGCCCGCGATGAACGGGTCGCCCATGAGGCCGCCCACTCGGGGCTTCATGTAGAGTGTTCCCTCGTCGCCAACCATCTCGACCACCCTGTGCCCGCGGCGATCTTCGCGCGGCGTCTTGTCTTCGGATCAGGCGCACTTCTCCGTCGCATTATCGGGCGCAGCCCATAGTCCGCCGCCGCATGCAGCGGGGAAAAATATTCGAAATGTTCGCGCAGCTAATCCAACTTTGCCTTGGCCTCCGCGAAACACATTGAGTTGCCAGCGTCGCTCCATCTCCGCGCCCGTGCTGAGCGAGCATGCGCGCCTCAGCAGAACCCGAAGCACAAGTAATTGAGCAACGAACCCTTGCTGATTGCCGGCAGCGCGTGGGTTACCCGCTTGCTGAGAGCTCCTTGCTTGGCGCTCCCACTCGATAGCCCGTGCCCCGCGCTGAAGCGCCAGCGCAATGGGCCCATTTTGGTCATGCGAGCTATTGTCGGGCCCAACAACACGAACTCTCTGAATATGTTCATGCAAACGGAGGCAGGGGTTGGTCCAGTGCCACATCGCCCAGGTGCCGTTTCTTTTTCCGCCGAGAAACAACGGTCCCATAATTCAGTTGGGGCCGCATTGGTAAGCGCCGCGTTTTTCTTGATCCTCAAGTAGGTGGCGAACTGTGCATTGTCCTCCACCGCCTTGATCACGCGTTCGCAAACTTCCAATGGCGCCAATCGTGGTGGTGTGGCAGAGTTCCGTTGCTGTCTCCACTCCGCCAAATCGACCTCCCCCGCATGTATTCTCCCCTGACGGCCAGGGAACTTCCAGGCATCCACCCAAGGCACTTCACTGCGCATCGTAATGGCCAGCCTGCGGCCGCCCCGATGTTGCGCTCCAGATCTGCAGCGCGCCACCTGTCAAGAAAGCCCCGTTGCCTCGTGCATCCGTCGTCCTCGCTATGTTTCTCGCATCTGCTCGACGAGCACCTCCTTCGCCGCTGACGTCGCTTGCCCCCGCTGCTTTTGGAGCGTCGGAACAGCTGTCGCGAGCTCTCTCTCAACTTCATCAAGGTCCGTTGTGTGTGTGTGTGTCTCGGTACCCGTCTGAACTCAACTCGTCGTTCCAATCGTTGCCATCGTTCTGCCCATTCCAGAGACCGCGGTGCCAACGGTGGTCGTGGCAACTGTCTGGCGCCCACTTTGCACACGCGTTGCCTCAATGCCTACCAGTAGTCTTCGGGCGTGGTGCGCCCCTCGGAATGGCGGCCATCATCGCATCACCGCGCAGTCGCGGGACGACAGGGGCGGGGGGGAATTCACCAGGATTTTTCGCGACCTCTATCCAGGATGTATGGAATATGGTCACGAGGGACACGCCAGGAGCAGCCTGCGCTGGTGTACCCAACCATCCTAGAGGACACGGCATGGAGCAAGGCGGTCCTGTCATCCACGCGGCAGGAACCAGAAATCGGCAATGCTGCCCGTCACTGGTGCCGTCGTTGCCGAATAAGGCGTCCTTTTCGTAAACTGTGAACATCGTGGGACATACGATGTTCTGCTCGACCAGCGGCATGCGTCTCAACTCGCCCGCTCCGTAGCGCGGTCGCTCCCGACTGCGAGGGCCGCCGAATGTATCACATCGGTGTTCATGCCAACTTCCCTTGCGCTGTTGTCCTCCCAGTTCCTCGCTGGTGTCCGAACAGAAGAGCGGTAGTGCACGACATGGGAGCTGAAAAGCCATGGTTCGCAACCGTTGTGCCAGTGCCCTCGTCGTCTCGTGGTACTCTCCATTATGATGGTGTGTCCTCGGCTGTGGCGGTAGCCTAAAAAACTCCACGCGTGATGTCCTGCACCCTTCCCTGCAAACGAACTGCCAGGCCCCGTCGCGCCGATGTAGGTGATGGAACCCACGTCAGCTTGATACGCTTAACAAAAAAACAAACGTCAGACAAGGCCACAGCCCAACCCGTCGCCTTCGTCGCAGCTTGGCCAAGTTGTTGAACAGCCTCTAGAATGGCTCGTCGGCGAATGATCGATCGTGCAAGACCGTCGCCACATTCGCATAATGCCAGTGTCCCCGCCAAGAGTACAGCCTCCAAATTCAATTGTCCCACATCGGCTCGACACAGATCGGTCTCAATGCAGAAATTCCTGCTGGCGCCATCATCAGACGGCGACCATCACTCGAGGCCCATCGCAACGGCAGCGAAACTAAAAGGCGCGGGCGCGCTGCAGCCGCCCTTCCTGCATTACGGATGGCGGAACAGAGGACGAGGAGGTGGAGGACGAGAAGGCGGACGAGGCATGCCGTCGTTCCATGTGCTGCCCCGGTCTGCTTCCTCGTGTCCAGCATTTCCAATGTCGTGCTCACGACCATTTACCCTACTTTTAGTCAACGGCCCCGGGCGGAAGCGCCGGCGGCGTGTCAAGTCGAAACGGGGCGCGCCACAGACGAATTAAGAGCAGAACTGGGGCACACTACTGCAGGGTGCGCATGCAAGAGCCCGAAATAAAAAAAGAGAGGGATAAGAGCGGATGATGGTTGAGCAGGGACCGGCCGTCCCGGCATTCCTATAGTCCTACCACGAAGTGTCCTTAGAACCCAAAAATGCTCGAAACACAAGGACAATGTTCTTATAACATAAGACCGACGTGTTAAAACAAGACAACCTCAACCAGACATGCTCTATAAGAACATGTCGCGGAAACCACACAAGGCTCCTAGAACAATTGTTTGGGGAGGGCCATCGGCGAGCCAGGACGCTTCGCCACTGCGTGAGATGGGGGAGCGCGCGCAAGCCCCTGCTACCGCTTCGTTTCCAGCCATCTGAGGGTTCACCTGTGCCCGCACCAGAGGTCACTCCGGCGAAAGGTCACCCACACGTCTAGTCTAGGAGAAGGAGGAGGAGGAGGAGGCGGAGGAGGAGCAGGAGGAAGAGGAGGAGGAGGAGGAGGAGGAGGGAGGAGGAGGAGGGGTCGCCTAAGCCCTTCGGAGAAACTCTCCAGCCTCGGTCCTCGGGGGGGGGCCCCGCCCTGCATGCCACAGCCGGTGGCCGCAGCCCGGCGCCAGCCTGCTGGTGGCGGCGTCCGCGCGCAGGGGGGCCGGCCGCGCGGCGGCGGCCGTGCCGCGCGCCTGGAACCTGGGAGCGCCAGGGGGGGGGGGCAGAGGAGGGGAGAGGGAGGAGGAGGGAGGAGGGAGGAGGAGGGAGGAGCAGGAGAGGAGGGAGGAGGAGAGAGGAGGGAGGAGGAGAGAGGAGGAGGGAGGAGGGAGAAGGGAGGGAGGATGAGGGAGGAGGAGGCGCCATGGGGGGCAGAGGAGGAGAGAGGAGGGAGGGGGGAGGAGGAGAGGAGGGATGAGGAGGTGGACAGAGGGGGAGGAGAAAGGAGGAGGAGGAGGAGGAGGAGCAGAAGAGGATGAGGAGCGCAAGGGCCCCAAGGCAGAGAGAAACAAAACAGACACGAAAAGGTGGGCGAGGGAAAGGCGAGGGCGAACGGGGGCATCAACTGTGCCTGAACAAAAACACCCAGGACGGGCCCGCGGCGCACGAGCTGAGTGCAGCGGGCGCTGGCAGCAGCGGCAATCTGGCCCAGCTCTGTCTCGTGACGGTGCCCACACGAAGGATGCTACACTGCGGCGGCCACGCCCTGGGCGTTCAGGAGCGGCAGGAACGGGAAGAGAGCAGCACGCAAGGAACCAGGAACGGGCAAGGAGGACGGGGAATGGTATGGAAGCGTGGCACAGACAGGGGAGCACGTCGGTCAAGACCACTACAATATAATGCGGCCACGCCCTGGCGACTTCGCGGAAGAGACAATTCAGACGGGCATGAGCAAACACACTTCCACTTGCACACACCCTGCGTTGCAGCGCGCGCGCATCACATCACACATGGCACGGGGGGATGAATGTATTGAACTGGGCATACGCTACACTGGACTAGCGGGCGGGCACGGGTCATCTCTGGATTGCAAGGTTTCGCCTCGCCCGGCAGAACACGAGGGGGAGACGCGTTCTGCTTCTCTCAACCAACCAAATCCCCGCATGGGATCTGCTGGGGCTAGGTGAAGCTGATGCGCGCGCGCGGTGGAGCACCGCCCGAGGGTGCCACAGACTCCGCTTCCAGAGGATCGCGTTCGGTGCTCCAGGCCCCCATTCTTCGTAACATACAGAGTCAACCAGTATAGCAAGGATGCGCGATAAGGATGCAAGGGCCTTGGACGCCCATTTCGAAGCTTTTCGAGCGGGGCGCGGCCAGCGAAAGCGGCGAAGGATGGACCGAGGAGGCAAGGATGCAAGAGTACCCTTGGGAAGGCTGCCCATCCTGACTATCATGGTTGACTGTAGAGGGTCTCGCGGGAGATGCCGCTCCTCGGGGCGTCGGCGAGGTTCTGCAGGGCGCGAAATGATCGCGAGCGGGCGTGCGGGAACAGGGCCAGAGCTGGGCGACGCAGCCCGGGCGCGAGAAGGCACGCACATTGCGGATGGGCGCAAAGGCCCAACGCGGAATGCTTTACACCAGCGAGCACGGCGGAGAGCTTTGCGCGCAAGTCCTCCCACACTGAGACGGTCCGACTCCTTCCCCCGCCCATGTGTCCAGATGCGTGGCCGCCGCGCTCGAAACGCTGCCAGGCAGAGCCGGCCCAGGTGAGCGCAACGACCCGTCAAACGCGACGCGGCGGCGCCTTCCGCGACGGCCGCGGCGCACTTCTGCAGGTCGAGTGCGCGGCCAGCACTGCCCCCAGCGAGTTTTTTTTCACGCGGGGGTGCGCACGCCCGAGGCGGGCTCCACACCTGCGCCGCGCGCGCCCGGGCCATCTGCCGACGCGGCGGCGGTCCCGCGACGCCGAGGACGACGATTTTCCCGAGCGCGCGCTCTTCAGATCGGGCCCGCCGTCCGAGCGGCGAGGGCCAGGGGCGCCCCGGTCTTTGTGCCTCCGCGAGCGTCGAAGAAGCTGCCCCCCCCCCCCGCGCCGCCCCCCCCCCCGCGCCTCCCCCCCCCCGCCCGCCCCCGCCCGCTCCAGGAAGGATGGCCTGGGCCCGGACGTCCTGAAGCAGGGGCTCGATGCGGTTCGCGATGCGAAGGTGTCAAGTCCCAAGGCGTCTGCATTCGCCGACGAGGCGCCGGCGACGCTCTGCCCGTGGCGCGCGCGGCTGGGCAGTCTGGCGGATCTGGGAGGCCTCGCGCCGGATGAGACCATCGCTACCTTGTCTTCGAGGGCAGAACCCTGGGCGGGGGCGCGACGCGCGTGGGCCGCGGGCGACGCCGGCCGGTCCATCGATCGAGAAATCTGCTCGTCGCCGCCGAGGGCCGGGACCCGAAGGGGGCCGAGGGCCTGCGGGCGGGCGCGGCCCGGGGCCCGAACGGCCATTGCGCCGTCTGCGGCGCGCTCGCCCCTCGCCAGGGACGCGCCGGAGGCCCCGCCGAAGGGCCCCCCCCCACCAAAAATTCCAAACCAGGAGAGAGAGAGAGAGGCGCGCGCCGTAGACGGCGCCGATGGCGTCGGGCCCAGGCCAAGTCAACGGGCGTCTTCCGCACGCGAGATCCGACTGCGGGCCGGGCCTGCGACAATTGAAGGACGCATTGGGCCCGCTGCAGCCGCTCCCCCGTCCGTGCAGCCGCAGACTGGGCGCCGCCCGGCAGACCAGGCTTCTCGCGGAGCCGTGGCTCGTCGCTGGGCGCGACCTCCGAGACAGGGCGGACCGCGGAGGGCCTGGCGGCCGAGATCCGTCGCGCGCGTGCGACGGGGCCGCGGATGTCCGTCCGCGCCCAGTTGCGAGCGCAGCTGGGGTCATCGAGCGCGGGAGACGGCGCGCGCGGTTTTCGCGCGGCGGCTGCTCGACGAGGCGCAGGGGCTCGCGTCGCCGCCAGTGGCCATGCGAAAACACTCGGGCAGCGGCGGCGCCCCGCCGGGCGCAGCTGGTCTCTGTCTGCGAGCCCGGGCAGGGGCATGCGCGAGGTCCTCGAGCCCCGCAAGGGCTCCACAGGGGGCCAGGGTGGCACGCTCGCGACAGAGCTCTGCAGGGGGGCCGTCGGGGCGCCCTGGGGGGCCGGCCAGGGAGGCCCGGGGCCGAGAGAGACGTCCGCCGCCAAGAGGGGGACGACACCGCGGTCGCAGCCGACGGGGCGGAGTGGGGACCCGCGCGGGCAGGCACCGCCGCGAGCGCGCGACGGACGCCCTCCTCGAACGAGCGCGCGCCCGCGCCCAAAGAGACGCGAGGGCACGCGGGGCCAATGGGGCAGTGTCTGCGGATCCGCGGGCAGAGGCACGTGACGCACCACCCGCAGGCGCACGGGAGTGGGCAGGGCACTCGTCGAGCCCTCGAGGCCCCCCGACGGCTCCACGGACCAGCTCGGCGGGTCGGCTCGAGCCTCGTGGCCTCGCCGTCGCTCGGACGTCCACTCCTGGTGCATTGCTCGGTCTCGTGCGTGTATTTTTCTGCTCGATGGTCCAGGATGGTCCTCGATGGTGCTCGCCGAAAAGAGATGCACACGTCCGAGCGATGCCAGGTGGCTCCTGGATGCAAGTAGTGGTCGTGCATCTGCTTCGGGCCGCTCGTAGCTGACCGCGCTTGGCACCGGGGGTCGGCGGGAAGCACCGTTTAGCGAACGCAGCGCACGTTCCAGGAAGCAGCCGAGAACTTCCCACAGCACTCTCAGGGAACGGCAGCCAGTCCAGTAGCGCAAGAAGGAGGAGAAGGATAGCCGCTGGATAATGACGAACATGCGCCCGGCAGGCTGGCCGGCGGACGTGCCTCCCCTGCGCAGGCGTGGCCCGCGCCCCAGTCCAAACCAGTTGGTGACGACGGCGGAGACCCTTGGTGCACGGCGTCCGAGTCGACCGAACACATCTCGCCGGTTTGCTTCCTGACGGTGTCATGCCGAGGAGCGACTCTGCGGGATTCGTCGGTCTGGTAGAGTTGCGGTCCTCGCGCATCTGCTAGATATGCCCCTGCACTCGATGTTTGGCACGTAAAGGGGTCGGGGTGTCGAACTGGGCACGGAAGGCAATTTGGGTCTGGGTCTTGCGGTCAAGCCACTGGAGTCTGACATGCTTGGATGTCTCGAGGGGCCACTTGGCAGAGGCCTCCTGTGAACTATGACATGGGAAGCTCCTGGCATGAGTGCAGCATATGGTCTGCAAGGCTGACTGATGGTCAAAAGGAAATGCCTTGACGGCTTGTCTGGGCCGGAGCGCGAACACTACATTTTCTTCAAGAGAGGGTGAGAGAAGCCACCGATCAGAATCTTCCTGCAATCTCCGTTCTGGGCACCTTCATCACTGGCACCGCCAACACTGCTACGGGCCCGCACGCTGGGAGTCTTCGAATGAGCGGGCTTCGGGCGGGATAGCACGGACTGCACCTGTTCTGCGATCCGTGTGATCTTGGTTCCGATAGCAGGGTCTGGTCGATCTGGAACCCCCCTGCGGCCTGCATCTGAGCGGGCTGGTGCAGCTTCGCGTTTGTGTCGCTGCTCTTCGTGGCGTGGGCAGGTACGGTCGGGAACTTCTGCTCGACTTGCGGAGGGGGGGGCTGGTGACACGCTGTGCCTTGCAAGCGGGCAGCGTGTCGCTCCGCTCCGCGGGGCGGCATGCTCGGGAAAGCTCTGGACGGTGACGCCGGGGGGCCGCGACGCGGGCGTCGTGTCGCGCCCGAGCGTGGTGGGTCGGAGCCGGCGGAGCGGCACGCGAAGCCAGAGGTCCCGACCGCATCTCGCAGCTAGCACTCATCATCTCGCCATCGCTCGGACGCCCAGTCCCTGAGTGTTTGTTCGGTGTCGTGCGTGGCTTTATTCGCCAAGTGATCAAGGATGCTCCGCGGTGGTCCTCGCCGAAGGAAAAATGCACACGTCCGAGCGATGCCACGTCATGGCCAGCTCGAGCGTCGTATGCCCATCTCGAGTTGGTTGGTGGCGGCGGTCGGAAGGTCGAAATCTTTTTCGGCCAGGCCGGCCATCCACGGCGGCGCCGGGCGTCGTCGGCGCTGCTGCCCGGGCGGAAGCGGCAGCACTCGCTGGAATCATGGCGGCAACCGTAGCCATTGTTAGAAACACCACGCATGGCATAGAGAAGGGACCCGACCACAAGAAACCTTCCACACAGAAGATCGATGGGCGTCTCGGAGCCTCAGGGTTGGGCTTCCCGTGGAAGGTCTCTCGTGAACGGGCCCCCGCTGTGCAGTAGGAGCTCGACCACAAGAAACCTTCCACAAGACATCCAGCCCTGAGACGCCAGGGCGTCCATCGTGATGGCGTGGGAACGTCACGCGCTCCATGGCGAAACCATCGAAACCCAAGAAACCCAGGGCACCCTGGAGGCGAGCAGGGTGTTTCTTAACATGGGCCTCCACTGTAAACAACACATGCTGGAGTTCCGCGGGATTTCTCGGTCGGCTCTGGACCACCCTCCCTGGCGCGGGGGGCGCGCAAAAGGGCGGCGACGGAGGCGCCGCCAGCTCCGACAGTTTATGTGTGTGCCGTTTCTCTGCTTCGACTGGTGGGCGTCCCGTGGTCACTACCGCGGCGATCGCGGCGAAGAGGAGATGGCAAAGGTGAGCCGACCTGGCCCCCGCGCCCCCTGTGGCCAAGCCGTCGACCTCCCTGGCCTCCACCGCGATCCGGCATGACTGGTGTTAGGTGCATCGCGGCAGCGAACGGGAGGCTGCGACGGGGCAGCACACCGAGGCCCGGCAGCTCACACTGCGGGCCGTGTACAGAGAGCCTCCTGTCAGGCAGGCGGCCTCAGGTCCGGCCCCACGGCCGCGGTGAAGCTCCGTCCGCCGAGGCCTCGCCTCCTGCACCTGAGCCGGAGCGGAGATGGAAGGAAGGGGAGGAGGGGGAGTCCACGCGCAGTGCGGCACACTCAGTGTCAGCGAGCTGGTCCACATCAGACGAGCGCGCTCCACGACTCGCAAAGCAGCTGCTCGCAACTGGCCTGGGTCCGCCGCGGGGAGCCTGCGACAAGTGACACCGAAGCGGACATGCGTTTTTGGGACCGTTTGAGAGTAGGCACTTTGCGCGTAGTGGAACGCGCTCGGTGACTGCAGAGACACGTGCAGCGCCGCGGCAGAACACATCGCCAGTCAGAGATCGGCGGCGTGAGCGACGGGGCCCGCTGCACACGTGAGCAGGCCGAGGCCCCACTCCAGCAGCGGAACGCACCGGCGTCGCGCCGAGGGGAGGGGAGGACGAGGAGGAGAGAGAGAGAGAGAAGGGAGGCGAGGAAGAGGACGAGAGAGAAAAGATCACGAGGAGTACGAGGATTATCAAGGATGGAGCAGGCGAGCACGGATGAGAACGAGGAGAAGAACGCTAACATATGCAGGCTGTGATAGCGGCGCGCGGACATGCCGCTCCGAGATGTCGCCGGAGACACCCCATCCGAGAAGTGCAATCGCTGCTCGTCGCTACCCACACCATGGCTATTCTCTTGGTATCCAATTCATCCAACCGCCTTCTCCCTTCTCTCCGTGTGGAAAGCCCTTCCCACGTGCGCACGCAGGCACTGCGAACGCGCACGCGCACGTGCACGAGACGGTGCGTCGAAGTGCCCTCTGGTGTGCGGCGAATGCCGGCTTAAGTGGCCGGGAAAAGGACTCACACCGCTGCAAATCCGCTGCACGCCAGAAAAAAAGACATCGCTCAAGTTGCAATATTCGGCTCCCGTGCCAAGCTCTAGCTCACTGGAGCAGAAAACAAGATAACCAACATAGTGACGACACGGGAGATCCGAATTCAAAGCTTGTGCTGTGGCGGGACGCTGCGGATACGATGACACCCTGACCGCCTATAGCACTGCTCTCACGCCGACGAGCGGCGCAACATACGAAGCATCTCACTGACAGGGCGGTGAAGTGACCATGAGAAACGGACCGGGGCTCGCTGTTCCACCCTGCGAGGCCAAGAGCGAGGCGGCCGCCCCACTCCGCTCTCCTGACCGAGGGCCCAGGGCGCCGCAGGGTGCCCAGGGCCCTCTGCGGCCCCCGGCGCGCCCCGAGCAGCCCCCCCTGCCCTCCCTGTCGGCCACCTCCTCCTCTCTCCTCCTCCTCTCTCCTCCTCCTGCCTCCTCCTCTCTCCTCCTCCTCTCTCCTCCTCCTCTCTCCTCCTCCTCCTCCTCCTCCTCCTCCTCCTCCTCCTCCTCCTCCTCCTCCTCCTCCTCCTCCTCCTCCTCCGCCCGGGCAGGGAGCCTCTTCATCATCGCCCCCACCTTGAGGACGCCCAGGATGCTCGCCCTCTGCTCCCTGGTCAGCTCTGCGCCCCCCCCGCCGTGGGCGGACCCCTGGCCGTCGGCGAGCAGCACGGCCTCGGCCTCGGCGCTCTCGCTGGCCGCCTCGAGGGGGGCTGGGCGGCCCGCCTCGCCGCGCGGAACCCCCCGCCGCGTCCTTCCGGGACGGCCCTCCCCGAGAGGGCGGACCTCGAGTCGAGCTGCAGTCAGGCTGTGGAGCTGGGCAGGAAAAGCATCAACCGGGAGTGATTCGGAAGATTTGCCTACAGGACGTCTGAGATTGGTCTGCTACCAGAGCTGCAACTGAACAACGATTCGCACTCTGAAATTTTCTCTGAGAGATAGTTAGTTCGAGCTGTAGGCGAGCTGCGAGACTCATATGCACAGCAATCGACAGGAAATGACGTCCATTCCCCGTGCACTTTTCGGTTTCGTGCGTGTTTTCGTTGGCGCGATGGTCGAGGATGCTCCTCGAGGGTCCTCGCCGCAGAGAGATGCACACGACCGAGCGATGCCAAGGGGCTCTCCTTGGACGGCGGGGGCCTCCTCAGACGTGCCCGGCGGCTCCTCGGGAGGCCCTGGGCCCTTCTGCTGTGAGGCCCCTGCCTCGTGAGAGGCCCCTCCCCTCTGGCCCGCTCGGGAGGAAGCCACCCTCGCGCCACCCCCCCGGGCCCCCTATGCCGGCGCCGGCAGCCCACGACCCCCACCAACTCCTCCGAAGGCGGAGGCAGGACGCTGTTGACGAAGGGGGGCCCTGGAGCCTCATTCATATATTTATATACACACATACATACACACATACATATACGTAGAAATTATCCCGGCAGAGCAACCGAACAGCGATGTGTAGAAGCATATCTGGAAGCATTCCCCTTAAGATTCAGATGAGAATCCAGTTGTAGAATTCTGCTGTTCTTGCAGTCGTAGTGGCATTCGCGATGAGAGACGCAGTGGCAACGGCAGTCGCAGTCACAGCCTCAGCCTGCCTCAGCCTCAGCCTCAGCCTGCCTCAGCCTCAGCCTGCCTCAGCCTCAGCCTGAGCCTGCTTCAGCCTCAGCCTCAGCCTCAGCCTTCAGCCTCGGCCTCAGCCTCAGTCTGCCTTCAGCCTCGGCCTCAGCCTCAGCCTGCCTCAGCCTCAGCCTGCATCAGCCTCAGCCTCAGCCTCAGCCTGCCTCAGCCTCAGCCTGCCTCAGCCTCGGCCTCAGCCTGCCTCAACCTCAGCCTCAGCCTGCTTCAGCCTCAGCCTCAGTCTGCCGTCGACCTCGGCCTCGGCCTCAGCCTGCCTCAACCTCAGCCTGCATCAGCCTAAGCCTCAGCCTCAGCCTCAGCCTCAGCATCAGCCTGCCTCAGCCTCAGCCTCAGCCTCAGCCTGCCTCAGCCTCAGCCTCAGCCTGCTTCAGCCTCAGCCTCAGTCTGCCTTCAGCCTGCCTTCAGCCTCAGCCTCAGCCCTCAGCCTCAGCCTCAGCCTCAGCCTGCCTCAGCTCAGCCTCAGCCTCAGCCTCAGCCTGCCTCAGCCTCAGCCTGCTTCAGCCTCAGCCTCAGTCTGCCTCAGCCTCAGCCTCAGCCTGCCTCAGCCTCAGCCTCAGCCTGCTTCAGCCTCAGCCTCAGTCTGCCTTCAGCCTCGGCCTCAGCCTCAGCCTGCCTCAGCCTCAGCCTGCATCAGCCTCAGCCTCAGCCTCAGCCTGCCTCAGCATCAGCCTGCCTCAGCCTCAGCCTCAGCCTGCCTCAGCCTCAGCCTCAGCCTGCTTCAGCAGCTCAGCCTCAGCCTCAGTCTGCCTTCAGCCTCGGCCTCAGCCTCCGCCTGCCTCAGCCTGAACCCATCAGTCAGCCTCAGCCTCAGCCTGCCTCAGCCTCAGCCTGCCTCAGCCTCAGCCTGCCTCAGCCTCAGCCTCAGCCTCGCTTCAGCCTCAGCCTCAGTCTGCCTTCAGCCTCGGCCTCAGCCTCAGCCTGCCTCAGCCTCAGCCTGCTCAGCCTCAGCCTCAGCCTGCCTCCTCAGCCTCAGCCTCAGCCTCAGCCTGCCTCAGCCTCAGCCTCAGCCTCTCAGCCTCAGCCTCAGCCTCAGCCTCAGCCTCAGCCTCAGCCTCAGCCTCAGCTTCAGCCTCAGCCTCAGTCTGCCTCAGCCTGCCTCAGCCTCAGCCTGCCTCAGCCTCAGCCCTCAGCCTCAGCCTCAGCCTCAGCCTGCCTTCAGCCTCAGCCTCAGTCTGCCTTCAGCCTCGGCCTCAGCCTCAGCCTGCCTCAGCCTCAGCCTGCATCAGCCTCAGCCTCAGCCTCAGCCTGCCTCAGCATCAGCCTGCCTCAGCCTCAGCCTCAGCCTGCCTCAGCCTCAGCCTCAGCCTGCTTCAGCCTCAGCCTCAGTCTGCCTTCAGCCTCGGCCTCAGCCTCAGCCTGCTTCAGCCTCAGCCTGCCTCAGCCTCAACATCAGCCTGCCTCAGCGTTCAAAATGTGGCCCGGGAATGGAGTTCTGGGAACTCGAAGAACACGAAGTGGCCTACGTCTGGCTTCGGGCATTCAAAATCATACCCAGGAATGGAGTTCTGGGAACTCGAAGACCACGAAGTGGCCTACTGTTGGCTCCGGGCATTCAAAATCATGCTCAGGAATGGAGTTCTGGGAACTCGAAGACCACGAAGTGGCCTACGGTTGGCTCCGGGCATTCAAAATCATGCCCAGGAATGGAGTTCTGGGAACTCGGAGCCCACGAAGTGGCCTACAGTTGGCTCCAGGCATTCAAAATCATGCCCAGGAATGGAGTTCTGGGAACTCGATGACCACGAAGTGCGTTACTGTTGGCTAACAAAAAGAATCCCCAGCATCCTCCCCCGGATCGCACCCAGACCCCCCTGGGGCGTCATGATGCTCTCTCTTTTGACCCTACTAGAAACCTATCAGTCTTCGCTGTTAGGTAAAAAAAGCTTCGCGATAACGGGCGTGATTCGGCGGGTTTCGGCCTCCCAGGGCCTTTTTCGAACCCCCGGGCCCTCGGGAGGAGGAAGATAAGGAAAAGGGAGAGGGAGCAGAGGAGGAAGATGGGATTGAGGGGGAATTCTTGGGAACATATTGAGATTCTTCTGCTGCTGCTGCTGCTGTTGCTGCTGCTCCTTCTCCTCCTCCTCCTCCTCCTCCTCCTCCTCCTCCTCCTCCTCCTCCTCCTCCTCCTCCTCCTCCCCCTACCCCTTCCTCCCTGGTCGTCGCCTTCGCCGTTCTGCGCAACTCTTCCCCTTGCGTCGTCTTCCCAGTTGATCGCGATGACGCTGCAAATTCTTGCGCAACTCTTCCCTTTCACGCGCTTCCCTTTCATGTCAGGAAAGGTTTGAAAGACGATCGTTTCGCCTGAGACATCCTCGCCAAATCTTGAAGTTGGGGGTCGCATCTTAAGACGCATGCTGCTAACATTGGGCGTTTCGCATCCTCGGAAAATGGGGATGTTGAAATCGTCGTTCTAATTCGCGGACCTCCAAACATGAGCGTTTCGCCTGAGACAACCTCGAAACAATGGGATGCGCCAAGCGCTCTTGTAAGGCATCTTTTCGGAGCGATCTCGGATGACCTCCAAGACAAGCGTTTCGCTTAAGAATCAACGGGCCCTCGAAAGCATCTGGTTTCCACCTCTTCCTCCTCCTCCTTCTCCTCCTCCTCCTCCTTCCTCCTCCACCTCCCGGTCGCGGACAACAGCGACGACGACGAATCCCTGGGACACCCTTGAGATTCTCTTGAAACCCTGGAAGATTCCTTGAGACATGTGGGGAAAACAGCGTGACGTGATCGGGGGGGGGAGGGGAGGGGCGGGGGCGATCACGAGCGTTATCGCCCAGACTATAAAAAACAAGCTCCTGAAGGGTGAGCGCGGAAAGGGGTCGGTCTGCAAATCGGCCGGGCCGTCCCTGAGACGCGCGGCGTGCTCATGGCCGGCGTCGGTCCTCCTCGAGGGCGGCCCCGCGCTGCGGAGAAGCTCGGGCCGCAGAGCCGAGATCGCAGGGACGGCAAAACTCACGCTTCTTCGCGCAGCGCAAATTGCGGTGACGGTCCGGCACTTTTGCTTAACTTGTCGCCGCGGCGGCCCCGGCGACAAGTCATGCCTTGCAAGCGGGTGGCGCGTGGCTCCGCTCCGCGGGGCGGGAGGATCGGAAGTGGACGGAACGCTGACGCCTGCGAAGCGCGAGGCGTGATTATCTAGGTACGCGTAGGTGACGCCGCCTGCGAAACTGGGGTGCGTGTACCCGTAACTGATCTGAGGGGTGATGATGAGGAGGGGGAGAAAGACGAGGAGGAGGAGGAGGACGATGATGATGAGGAGGAGGAGGCGGGAGAAGGAGTTGCAGGAGGAGAAGGACGAGGCGGAGGAGGAGGAGGTGGAGTCGTCGAAGCTCGACAGTGCCCCCTGTCACGCGCAGCAAGAGGCTCACATCGAACAAAAGCAACAGCAGAAGAAAGGAGGAATCCTCGGAGTCCTTCCTGGCGCCGTTGAGGGGCTCTTCGGGAACGGCGGCTTTCTGAGAGCGGGAACGTTTGAGTACGGTGAGGGCATTGGATAAGGAACCCTTGCACAAGGAATCCAGGGTCTGGAGGCCAGTGAAACTCCGATCGTGGATCGGCCATGGGTAACACTGCCACCCTCATCAGATAAGGAATCCCCCAAGGTCCGAAGCCTCCTGGGCCCATTCCTGAACGAACGCCCCCACCGTAATACCAGCCATACGAGGGAACGGCGTCTCCCAAATCACCTGCGATGGCCCGTTGTCCTCTGTTGGCTGCTGTCCTCTTCCGTGCGTCGTCGGTTCTCATCCTGCCGCGGCTCCTGCGTCGGCCCCCCTCTACTCCTCAGCCCTCACCCCTCCTCGAACTCCCCTCGAAACTTGACAGTGGAGGCCAGTCCACAAGAAACCTTCCACAAGACATCCAACCCTGAGACCAAGGGACGTCCACTGGATTTTTGGCGGCGTGGGAACGTTGCGCCTTCCGTAGCAGAACCATCGAAACCCAAGAAACCCAGGGCACCCTGGAGGCAACCAAGGTGTTCCTTGGCATGGGCCCTCACTGTCTACTGTCCTTCCCATGTTCACCCTCCTCTCCCATACGCAATGCCTCCTCCTGCTGTTTCACCCATCTACTCCTTGCCCTCCTCGTCCCACCCACCCAGGCTTCCTTTCCAGGACGCATTTCCATTTCAATTACGTGAGGTATGGCTCTCCCGAATGCACACACATACACGCACGCACACGGCTTGTCCGCTGACGTTGGCCCCTCGGATGGCGAACAACGCGTGAATCATCCTCGGGATCGTCTTCTCCCGTCCCTGTTCCTGGTTCACTTGTTCCTCATGTCCCTCCTCACACATCTGCCTCTCTCTCTCTCTCCCTCTCTCGTCACGGTCATCCTCCTTCCACCTCCTTCTCTCAATCCGACAGTCCTCATCCCGTCCTCCAAAACGCGTCCTCGATGGTGAAGGCCTGCCAGGGTCCGTGCATCGGCCAGCGGGCGCTCACCACGTCGCCCTGGACGTCTATGCACTTCCCCGTGTGAGCCATCAAGAACACCACGTCCCCTTGGTTGGCGGCGTGCGGAAGGGAGTGGAACGAGGGAGACTGCTTTCTGAGATGGCCGGGGCGTGGTCCTGGAAGGGCTCGGAGGCGTCTACGCAGGGGGGGCTCGTTCAAAGGGGGGGGGGTCTGAGAAGCCCCTCGCCTCCTCAAGAGGGCCACGCCCTTCGCGAGCCGCCACCCTTGGCGAGCCGCCGATCCCCCAGCGCTGTCCGAACTGGCCGCTCCGTATCACCGCGGAGCCCCGTCAACAGTCAGCATCACGATCACACGCATCGCTGGGGGACGCACCGAACACTCTTGCTCCCGACGAGCGCTGCGCTTCGAGCTGCCTCGACGGTCCCGTCAGGATGGGTGGCGCGATGCGACGCGCGCTCGAAGACCACCGAGACCGCTGGCTCCCACATCTGCACGGATATCTCGCCCCGACTTCTCAGCCCGACAGCGACAGGCCTTCGTGGCGCGGCCTGGTACGTGCTCGAAAACCACCGACGCGCACTCCCTCACCCCTCGGCAACAGACCACACTGGCCGGCCCAGAAGCGAGAAGCGAGCGAGCGAGCCGCCATTGCGGACACATGTCCGGGCCGACCTGGGACCCGGTGGGGAGGCCGTGGCCTCCAGAAACCTCATCGATGAGCTGCACGCAGCCATGCCAGGCGCGAGAAGGCATTGGCCAAACTCCGCCCCCCCACGCATCCTCGATCCTCCCAGGATCGACGGTGCAAGATCTCGACGCTCGCGGCCCCTTCCAGGGTAGCCGCCGGGGCCATCGCCGGGGAACGTGTGGCCGGGCGGGAGCGCGCCTTCCATCGGATCCCTGCGGTAACTGGCACGATTCGCGTTGAAGGTTCCCGTCCTCCAGGCAGGAGTCTTGCGCGAGAATCAGCGAAAGGAACGCTTGCCAGCATCGTCGGCAAGGGATCAGGAAGCATCATGGCAATGGGAACGAACACACGCGACACGCCCACACCGTCATACAGTGTGCAAGGGGAACTGGCCCGACCCCATTATGCGTTTCGCGTGGCTGCAGAATATTAATATAAAAAACCCAGAGGCACGCTGATACTTACAATGCTAATGGTTGACCATCAAGCAACACAACTATGTCTCCAAAGTTTCCAACGTTACTATGCTATCCTGAGCGCTTTGCTTCGCAATGTACAAACTTTGCGTGTCCACTCACTTTGATGTCCTTTTGACCTATTTCGTTTGTGTGGTGTTTCGCTCCACGCTGCTTTCGATTAGCGACTTACTTTGCCTTGCGCTACGCTACAGTTCCATGCCTCGTCTTGCTCAGCATTGCGTCGCATTCGAACTGCGTTGCTTCCACCTCCTCCTACCTCCTCCTCCTGTTCCTCCTCCTCATCCTCCTCCTCCCTCCTCCTCCTCCTCTCCTCCTCCTCCCCCCTCCTCCTCCTTCTCCTCCTCCTCCCTCCTACCTCCTCCCTCCTCCCTCCTCCTCCTCCTCCTCCTCCTCCTCCTCCTCCTCCTCCTCCTCCGACTTCTCCTGTTCCCTCCCTCCCTCCCTCCCTCCCTCCTCCCTCGTCCTCCCTCATCCTCTTTCCGATGCTCTCCACTTACTTTCCTTATGAGGCTCCTCCCTGTCGCACCCCAGGGCGTGCCGGCAGGGCGGGCCGAGCGCTTCGCCTCAGACCTCCTCACCATTAACTGATCCTTGTGATGGGCCTGTCTTCCACCACCACCACCACCATGAGTTGGAGGGGGATGGGGTCCTCCTCCTGCTCCTCCTCCTCCTCCTCCTCCTCCCTCCTCCTCCTCCTCCTCCTCCTCCTCCTTCTCCTCCTCCTCTTCGTCCTCCTCCCCCTCGTCCTCCACCTCCTTCCCCCCTCGAACTTATGGTGGTGGTGGTGGTGGAAAACGGGCCCATCACCTTGAGTTGAAAGTGTGCAAGAGCTTCACGGATGGAGGGCGGGTTGGCCTCAACTTGGGGCTATCGCCCTAGCGCCGCGCACGTTCGTCTTAGAATATTGCAAGGGCTTCGCGGATGGAGGACGGGCCGGTTTCAAAATGTGGCTATTGCCTGAGCGCCGCGCACAGTCGTCTTGAAAGCTTGCCGGAGCTTCACGGATGGAGGGAGCGTGGCTTTCAAAATGTTGCTCTCGCATTGTCACCGCGCACATCTGTGTTAAAAGAACGCATGAGTTTCAATGATGGAGAGCGGGTCGCTTCAACGTGTGGCTGTCGCCTTAGCGCCGCGCACATTCGTCTTACAAGTTTGTCAGACCTTCATTGATGGAGGGAGGTTCCTTTTGAAAGTGCGACTCTCGCCCTCGCGCTGGGAGCATTCGTCTTCAAAAAGCGCAAGAGGTTCACGGATGGAGGGCGGGTCGGTTTTCAAAATGTGGTCGCCGCCTTGGCGCCGCGCACATTCGTTTTCAGAGTCTAAACTATCATCAGGGCTGACGTCCCAGAAACAATGTTTTGGCACGACGTCGGACTGCCGGGGCGTAGCAAGCCCGTTAACTTGCAGCGCTGAAGCCCCAGGATTGGTGTTCTGGCACGGCCCAGGACAGTCAAGACGCAACAGCAAAGGTGATCTGCGCCGATGAAGTTCAAGGAGCTGCTTTCTGACACAATGTTTTGAAACTGATGTCCTCCACCAGGGCACTTCCCTTAACGAGAATGAGCCCTTGCAGGGGCATGTGAAGAGGAAGCTTGGAGGGAAGGTTTATTGGCAATATCGTTAGTTGGTCTTGGGTTTGCACTGATCCTCCGTGACTTTTCCTTATACATAATTCCCCCTGTCGCATTCCGAGGCTGGTCGAAAGGGCGGGCCAGGCGTTTCGCCTGCTTCCTCACCATTTATGAACCTGACGGTTAGCAGCTGGGAACAGTTTGAAAGGTGGAGAGCGGGTCGCTTCCAACATCTTTCTCTCACCTTAGCGCCGCGCACATTCGTGTATACCATGTTTCAAAATCTTCACAAATTGAGGGCGGCTCGTTTTCAAAGTGTGGCGCTCGCCTTAGCGCTTCGCGCATCCGTTTAAACAAAATCGCAAGAGTTTCACTGATTCTCATGGTGAACGCAGGATAGTCAGAGCGCAACACGTACGCTGGTTCACGGTGTTGAAATCCGAGGAATGGTGTGCTGGCACGATTCAGGATCACCACGACGTGCCAGTAATGTTAACTCGTGGTGTTGGAAACCTGAGAGTGGTGTTTTGTCACGCTTCAGGATGTTCACACGGTTGTCCCCGTACGGTGCAATTCCCTGAATGGAGATGAACCTTTGTAGGAGCCTGTGGAGAGAGAGCTTGGAGGGAGGGTGTATTCCAACATCGTTGATGAGTCTTGGGTTTGCATCAGTCTTCCTCCTACTCCTCCTCATCCTCCTCCTCCTCCTCATACCCCTCCTCCCCCTCACCCACACGCCTCATTCCCCACCTAACCTCCACCACCTCCTGGTACCCTCCCTCGTCCTCCCCGCCCCTCCTCCTCCTCCCTCCCCCTCCTCATCGTCCTCGCTTGCCGTCCTTCCCCCCCTTCTTCTCAACCCGCTCCCTCCCTCCCTCCTTCCTTCCCTCCCTCCCTCCTCCCTCCCTCCTCCCTCCCTCTTCCCTCCCTCCTCCCTCCCTCCCTCCTTGGCCGAGTCCTGGCCAGATGGCGCCGTCGTTCGCCTCCTTTTCGACCACGAGCTCCTGCGTCGGCCCCGTCTCGTCGGAGCGCGCCTCCACCGCGTCGCCTGGGCCGGCCCGGAGTGCCTGCTGCCCTTCCGAATGGCTCCTGCGCCTACTATTCTTAGGTCGGGCATGTCCTCCTACAGACCAATTTGGCACGATAAATAAAAATGACTCTCCAAAAGTGCGACCAAATAGTCGAATATAACCAAAAAGGTCCACAAGCTATTTTTTGATTATGTTTTGAATCTTCCTCCTGTAGAGGGACAGGCCCGGCTTCATACTAATCAGGCAATGCCTGGAGGCAAACTGTGGTCGGCCAGCGTGGACACCAGACCAGACAGCAAAGTATCGCAAGGATGTGTAAGATGTGTGGTGCAGACTGCGTGGCGAGGCATCGAGGCGGCACCAACGGCGCACCAGCCGGAGCCCCGACACACCCACTCAGCGCACGAGGCGGCAACGAGGTGTCCCCAACGGGGCACCAGCTGAAGCCCCGACACACCCATCAAACTCCTTGGTAACAACAGGAAGAACCTCTGAGTGCAGGCAACGTTTTGGGAACATGTGGCTGCATGGCTGGCGCCAGTCACGAGGCCCGAGGCGACGCGGGCCACCGTGGTCGTCGGTGAGCGGCCGGGGGACAGGAGGTCCTGCTCCTGCTCCTGCCCTTGCTCCTGCGCCTGGGCCTGTTCCTGCTTCTGCTGCTGCTGCTGCTCCTCCTCCCTTGCTCCGCGGCCGCCTACGAGGCACCGCGGCGTCCTTCTCCTCCTCCTCCTCCTCCTCCTCCTCCTCCTCCTGCTCCTCCTGCTCCTCCTCGATTCTCTCGACTCCGATGACATGGGAGTTCGGTGACGGACGCGCTGTCATCTCCTCCTCCTCCTCCTCCTCCTCCTCCTCCTCGTCCTCCTCCTCCTCCTCCTCCTTGTCTTCCTCCTCCCTCCCTCCCCTCCTCCACCTCCTCCGCCTCCTCCTCCGCCTCCTCCTCCTCTTCGTCTTCCTCCTCTTCGTCTTCCCCCTCTTCGTCGTTCCCCCCCCCCCCTCCCTCCCTCCCCGCCTCGGATTCGGAGCACACGAATTCCACCGCCTGAGCCCCATCGAAACGAGACCCCTGGCCCCAGAGGGCTCGCAGCCCGAGCCCGGCAGTTCACAGCCGCCCCCCCTGGAGGGAGGGGCGCGCGAGCGCCGCCGCGGGCGCTCCCTGCCACGACGGCCCCAGCGGGAGAGACGGGTCTGCGCAGGCCCGCGCGCCATGACACGGCGCCCTTGGCGCGACGAGGGCGACGTCGGCGACGGCCTCGACGGCGGTGGTGCTGAGGGTGGTGGCGACGATGCTGGCGGCGGGGCCCAGGGGCCCCAAGGTCTCTCTGCCGACGCTTTCCGCGCCCCTTCCCTGCGCATCCATAGGCTCCATAGCGGGCAGCACCACCCACTGGCCCGCTGGTCGTCCGCGGCCGACACGGCGGATGGCGTGGTGGCGATGGTGGCGAGAGTGGCGGCGATGGCGACGGCGGCAGCGAGGATGCCGGCGACGACGACGACGACGACGACGACGACGACGACGAGGCGGCGGCGCGTCCAAGCTCTGGCAGCTGGCGCCAGACAGCTCGACGGCACTGGGCGTGGAGAGGCAGCCCCGACCGAGCCCGAGAGGGAGAGGGGAGGCTGGCTCAGAGGGGACGAGGGCCCTCCTCGAGGAGGCACCCCAGGACAGGCAAGCCCAGCCATGACATGCTGCTTGGTCTGGTTGGGAGCTCCTCTCCCCAGGACCAGTCGGCATCGAGCCGGTAGATCGGATCGAGTCGACATGCGCGTCGGATCGGGCTGCCTCGGCCCGGCATCGACATCGAATCGGGTCGGCTGCGCCAAGATGCACAACGGCGCCATGCAGGCATCGGGCCGCACCGGACCGTCGGACCATCGGCATCGAGCCAGATCGGGCCTGGCCAAACCCGATGTCGAGCGGGACCGACCGGTCGGATCGAAATGGACCACTCCTCTCCCCCGGGGGGGGGAAGCTCGTCGGAACCGGATTTAATGAGGAGGAGGAGGAGGAGGAGGAGGAGGAGGAGGAGGAGGAGGGGGAGGGGGAGGACGAGGAGGACGAGGAGGAGGAGGAGGAGGAGGAGGAGGTGGAGAAGCAGGTGGAGGAGGAATTTTGTGACAGGCTCGGCTGGGCCACTGGTTGCGGTCGACCTCGCTCTGGCCAGCAAGCCGCGGGACTGCACGGGGCGCTCGGTCGGGCCGCCCCTCTCCTGAGGGAGGGTGGGCCGTACACAGTCAGAACCCATCGTAAGGATGCCAAGCAAGGATCCAAGACCCTTCCAAGTCCCGCGTGCCATTTAGAGCTCCTTGGACGTCAGCATTGGCTCAGGATGGGCCGAAGGAGCAAGGGTATCCTTGAGGAAGCAGCGCGCGCCTACTATGGATTTTGACTGTAGGGAGAGGGTCGAACAGGCATGTCCCATCCGTGGAGGGCGCTCCTGTAGAACCTGTCCTGGGAGGGGTGCTTGCTTCGCTTCTGGGCGGCACGGGGGGGGCCTGCCCGTATCCCCAATGGTAGATCCAGGATCTGGAAAGACGGACCGCTCGGATAGGACATCTCGCTGGAGCTTGATCGCACGCTTCCAGCATCACCCCAGCGCTGGCGTCGACTCTCAGAGTAGCAACTCCAGCTCGGTGCGGCGATAACAATGCTCGGAATCGTCCTCGAGCTTCGGGTAGGACGGTATCAGGGCGTCCTGCGATCCGATGTACAGATTGTTATAGAGACGCCAGTACACTGCCCTCACTCTTCTGGCAGGGTGCCACAGGCCTTGAAGCAAGTACTGGAGCACCTTGGTAGGCCCTAGGGAGATGCGGAAGCCATCAATGGCATCAAAGACAGACATGATGAGGTGAGGCGATGTCTCGAAAATGTTCGGCCAAACGTAGTTCATGAGGTGCTGCAGTGCGTCCTCGCAGCCGAGACCCTGGACACCAAGCGCCAGGTGCTTGATTGCCCAGGAAGCTGTCTGCCTGTGGACCAGGTCCCGGTCCATCAGCGCATCCTCGAGGATGGGAGTCACGGCATGGATGTAGTCCTTACCCATCTCGCCAATGTACTCAAACATGAAACACAGGCTCTTGAGGACACCGTTCTGCACGTTCAGCTCCGGCACGCGGTACTCGTTCATGAGCGCGGGAAGCACCGTGAAGGGCCCGCAGGTCTCGGCGACGATGGCGATGGCCACTGTGGTGCAGATTCGCAGCTGGCGTTCCTGAACCTTCAGGTTGTTCAGCAAGGTGCTGAGGACGTCGTGAGGTCCAATGGCTTTGGCAATGTAGCCGAAGGTGTTCACGGCGGCTCGGCGGATGGCCTTCTTGTGAGCCTTCAGCAGCTCAAGAAGGTCGAAGCAGATGCGATTCCACTCGCGCGGCGGCGCCAGCTCGGCGCCTCGGTCGGCTATTCTCCCGACCAGGTCGATGCAGTTCTCTTGCACCTTCTCGTGGCGATTCTTGAGGATCGGAGTCAGACGTGGCAGTAGATCCTTGATGGGAGGGGTCATCTTAGACATACCGATCACGTTCACGATGGCCTTCAGGGCTCCCAGAATGGAGCCCAGCACCTCGGGGTACTCTTCCCCCAAGTACTCGTACAAGAACAGGCCCAAGTGTCCCATCATCTGCTCTTCTCCACACTGCTTCATCACGACTGCAATGCGGGCAATGAGGTCCGCCGCTTGCTGACGCACGCGAGCAGATGGCGTATTGAGGCGCCATCTGATGATACCGGCAATCTGCGGCAAGTATGGCTTGACGCGAGACCCAAGAGAGTTCACCACTGTGCCGAAGCCGTTGAGCATGACTGTGGTATCATCGGAGGTCTGCTCCTGGAACGCGTAGACTATTCCGTCGATGATCTGCTCCTCGAGACGCGAGTCAATGTCTGCGACTCCCAGATTTGCGATTACCTTGTCGATGGTCTCCATCACCATCTTCCGATAAGGCTCTGACGCGTCCTTCAGATCCTCGACTATCCTACCAATGATGTCGGCCCCCCCCACCTTGTTGGCGATCTCCACAGTGGTGTCCACGAGCTGCCGATAGTTGCGTCGATCCAGGGCCATCCGGACGACCCAGAAATTTCGGAAGAACGGCGGCAAGATATCTTCACGGATGTAGCTCGGCTCGACACCCTCGGTTGCCACGCACTGCTTCACGACTTTGAGCACAATCTTCTTCATCTCCTCGTCCGGCGTGGAGAACTCGCGGATGAGAATGATCATCACCTCTCGGGTATAATAGTTGGCATGCTCGGCATCCATGAGCGGGATGATGAACCCGATCGCCTTCAAGAAGGCGGCCAGTCCCTTGCCGCGGTGCTCGCAGATCCCCTTCCACAGCGGCCGCAGGACCGTGTCGAAGGCCTCGATCCCGTAGGGAGTCGAAGCCTCGGCAAGAGCTGCCAGCGCGAGGGCGGTAATGGTGCGAACCTTCTGCTGTTCGTCCTGCAATCCATGCGCGATGATGTCGACCATCTGCTTCAGGTGGGGCAGAACAGCGCAGCCCATGAGCATGGCAATCTGCTGCACGATCTTGATGCCCGTGTGCCTGGCCTGCCAGCTCTTCTTCGACTGGCAGACCGCGCGCAGGAAGAGGAGGAGCGCCGGGATTCCCAGCGCGGACGCGACCACGGCGAACGCTCGCGCTGTGGTGTTCCTGACGTACTCATCCGCGTGGTCTATGTCTGGTCGCATGGTTGCGATCATTGTTGCTAGGCCAGCGGCCTTGGACAGATTGCTAATGATCTCACGGCCCTCCACGCGCGCGTAGTAGTCCTCATCGATCAGCAAGGGCTCTATGACGACCAGAATTTTGTGGACGTACGGTCGCACCATGTCGTCTAGCTTGTACAACACACGATCAATGACTTTGACGAGAAGGTGCCTCTCTTGGTCCTCTAAGGTGCTGCTCATGAGTAGCGGCAAGATTTGATTGAAGAGGGGTCCTGGCCCAAATGACCGGGCTCCATCTGTGATCTGCCTCAAGGCCGCCCTTCGCATGGGGGGCGTCCCATTCTTCACCTTCAGCAAGAGTCTCATGATCTTCCGCTCCTTCGCCTCCTCTGGCGATAAGTTATCGTCATTCTCCGCCGACAGCAAAGGTGCAAAATATGAGTAGTCCTCTGGCTTGATCATCGGCATCTCACCCACTGCTGGGGAAGATGGCACCTCGTAGGGTTTGGGCGCGTCTGGATCCTGCATGCTGAAAAATGGCGTGCCACCAGGGGTGGGTGTGGGTGTCGACATAACGCTTTTTCGCATTGGCTGATAATTAGCTGGCGGCCGGACTATCTCGTAACCCGTCTGAGGGAAAATCGCATCTAATTCCTCGTCGGAAATGGGCGCATTCCTCTCATTAATCTCGGTGTCGTAGCGCCACGCCTGAATCTGCTCCGGCGTCATCTGGGAAAAGTTCGGCGTCAGCCCGACGGGGGTAGACATGTTGGCCATGCCAGGCGTGCCCAGAGGAGTGGCGCCCGGGGTGAACATCTGGACCCCGCTGAAGGGCGTAGCTCCCGGTGTCGCCGAGGGTGTAGGCCCCGAAGGTGTGGCACCAGACGGCGTTGCACTCGGAGTGGCGTCGGCGTCCGCCGGGGTGGCATCGACCCCGTCGTCTTTGGGCTCCATCGGCGTCGCATCCCAGCGAGCCCGCTTCTTCTTGCCTGCGCCGAGGCCCGGCGTGGGCGTCTCGCCCCACTGCCCTGGGGTGGGCGTCTCGATCCCGTCGTCACCGCCGGCACCCGGAGTGTCGTCCCAGGCGCCCTTCTTCTTGCTGCCCCCCTCGTCATCATCGTCCAGGACCACTGGCGTGTCTACACCTGGACCAGAAAACAAACGGCACCACCCCACCTTCGGCCCCACGGGCCGCAGCGTATACCAGGACGTCTGGCATGGGTTTCTGCATGGTATACGCTACGGCCCCCGATGGGCCGCAGCGCAACATGGAAGGCCGTAGGTGGGGTGGTGTCGTTTGTTTTTTGGCAGAGCACCATCGCCGCCTCCGACGGGCGTCTCCCAGCGGTCCTTCTCGTCCTCCTTGTCCTCCTTCCGGCCCACCCCTGCGCCGCCCGCGTCCCAGCGCCCCTTCTTCTTCGCGGGCGCGCCGTCGCCTGGCAAGGCCTTCCCCTCGGCCTTCGCAGTGGCCTCCTCCTCCTTTCGGGGAGACGTAAGACTCGGGTCCGGTAGAAACGGGTAGGCCTAACGAGGCCGTCAAGACAAGGACGAGACCCAATTCGAAACTTGTCGCGACCTCCCTCTGCAAAGACCCTACCAAGACTAGACCCTCCAATCCAGGACGGGCTGGCCAGAAAGCGTTGGCACACCTGAGTTCCGGCGACCTCGAGTCTTGCGTGTCCCCGATCCTTCTGCTTCTGGATCTTCCGGAGCACCTCCTGCTTCTCCTTGTCGAGCGCCTGGCCCACCATGACATCCTTGTAGGTCTGCAGCTCTGCCGCAGGCGTCGCGGCGGCGAACGGGTCGGCACGCTCGGGCGAGAGCATGCGCTTGTGGCGCTGGGCACGGTACGCGTCCTTCGAGCAGGGACCGACCGTCCCAGCATTCCTATAGGCCTACCCCGATATGTTCGAAAACGACGTGTTCCAATAACAGCAGCAGTGCTCTATCAGAACATGAAGCCGATGGGTGAAAAAGCGGCACGGCATCAACCAGAGATGCTCTGCCAACACTCCGTGCAAAACACCGAGTGTTGCCAGAACAATGCTTGGGGGGCCTATGGGCGAGTCGGAAAGCTCAACCACTGGAGAAACCAAAAGGTACCGATACCGGTGCTCCCTGGACCTCTCCAGGGGTGTGCTCTGACCAAGATTTCTAGGCGAGTCCAGCGGTGGCGACGAGGGCCTCCCAGAAGGCCGACAAAAAGGACAAATTCGGGCGAAGGGTAGCAGTATGGCTAGCGGTATGGGAAAAGGGGATTTAAGAGGGAAGGGTCGAGGTTCGGCTACTTTTTCCCTCGCTGAGCCACTGCTTGAGTCCTCGCGGTCGGCAATCTTCTTGCTCTCCGAGAGTCCCTTGAAAGGGTCGTCCTCCTCTCCGGCGGGCACGTCATCCAGCGGCGGCCCGGCCCTGGCGCGGGACGGCGCGCTGGCCTGCTTCCTCTCCAGCTCTGCAGCCTCCTCGTCAGTGGGGAGCGCCTTGACGTACTTTTCGCCTGGGTCCTTTAGAAGAAGAAACAACAGCATCGAGTTTCTTGGATCTGCGCTGGCCCCCCTCCCTGGCGCGCGGAGCGCGCCAAGGGCGGCGCCAGAGGCGCCGCTGGGGGGGCCCCAGCGCAGATCCAAAAAGCCCGCATGAACCGCTTTTGTTTATGCCAATGTTTCTTCTTCGATCCTTGTCGCCGCCCTTGACCCCGAAGGCATCGCCCTTCGCCGCCATGCCACGGCAGCGGCCCAAAATCTGGCGACTGCCCCCTGAGCCGCATCGACTCGAGCCGACGTGGCTGCGGGACAACGATGGCGACGAGCACGGGGAGGACGACAGCGACGAGCGCAGAAATGCTGTTGCTTCTCCGCTCGGCACGCCGCACACGACCCCTCCTGCGCTGGAGGTCTCCCAAAGCAGGGTCCGATAGGAGGCTCGCACGGCATCGCTAATGCATAGAAGAGGAACAAAACATATAGACAGAGACTTTTGGCGCTCCGCGCGGATTTCTTGGATCTGCGCTGGCCCCCCCCCTCCCTGGCGCGCTCTGCGCGCCAGGGGCGGCGCCGGAGGCGCCGCCAGGGGGGGGCCCAGCGCGGATCCCAGAAATCCGCGCGGAGCGCCCAAAGTTCATGCTTATGGCGTGTCGCTCGTCCTCGAAGGTCGGCGTGGAGGAGCTCGGGCGCCACATCGAATCGGCTGGCCGAGCCCTGGGTGGCGGCGCGGCCCGGGGCGGAGGCGCCCGAGGCTCGCGGCGGGAGGCTCCCGTCGGGGGCGCCCTGCGGGAGGGGGGCTCGGCTCGGGCGGTGGCCCGCGCGGAGCGGTGCGGTGCGCAGGGGCGGAGTTTCGCCACTGACCGAGCTTCGCCTGGCCGAGTCTAGTGCCCTTGTCGTGGCGAGGGGCGGGGAGGGATGGAGGGAGGGGAAGGAGGCAAGCTAGGTGCGCTCGCGTCATATCTGACGTCCTACCCCTCCCTCCCATCCCTTACCATGGCGCTGATTTTCTCTATCCGCGGACGCGTGTCGTAGCGGACTTGTGGCTCCGCGCGCGCGTGCGTAGTGGGTGGTGGTGCGCGTGCGTGCGTGCGTGCGTGCGTGCGTGTGTGGTGTGGTGGTGGTGGTGGTGGTGGTGGTGGTGGTGGTGGTGGTGGTGGTGGTGGTGGTGGTGGTGGTGGTGGTGGTGGTGGTGCTGGTGGTGGTGGTGGTGGTGGTGGTTGTGGTGGTGGTGGTGGTGGTTGTGGTGGTGCGGCGCGGTGGTGGCGGGCGGATGGGCGCGCGACGAGAACGCCATCCTGAACGACGGAGGCCAAACACCGATCCGAAAATGAGGCCCACGCTGCAGCGGGAGCACGATTCGAAACGATTCGGGAGCAGAAATGAGGCCGGCGCCTCAGCGAGAGCAGCATTTTGAAAAAAAAAAAAAAACACAAGCGAAAACCCGATTCCCGGGAATCCTGTGTGTAAAAAACAATACGCGGGGGGGTGTCGGATATCTTCGGGACGCCATCAGGGGAAGTGGGAGAGTATTTTCATATTGTGTAATTGTGGAGGGGGGGCGGGGATGGAGGGAGGGGGGGGAGGGAAGAGTGCGGGGGGAAGGAAGGGAGAGGGCGGGGCGGATAAGCGGGGAGGACGGACGGGGTGGGCTGGCGGGGCGGCCGGAGGCGAGGGCTCGAGGATGAGTCACGGACTCGCGGCTCGAGGCCTGGCCGACTCGGGGGCGGAGGTGGCGGAGGCGGAGGGCGCGGTGGAGGATGCGAAGACGGCGGGGCCACCGGCACCTGCTGCCTGCCGCGCGCGCGCGCCCGAGGCATCGAGGCTGCGGCCCCTGCTGGTCGTGCGCGGGCGGCGGTAGAGCCCAGAGCGCCGGCGTCGCGCTCTCTGGCCGCGGCGTCGGCCCCCAAGCGATACGCCCCGGTCGGCGCCGACGCCCAGGGGCCCTGGCGCGTGCTGCCCGGCTCGGGGCGCGCCTCCCTGTGCGCAGTGGCCACCACCCCTCTCCTCCCTCCTCCCTCCTCCTTCCCTCCCCCTTCCCCTCCCTCCTCCCCCCATCCCTCCTCCTCCCCCTCCTCCCTCCTCCCCTCCTCTCCTCCTCCTCTCCCCCTCCTCCTCCCTCCTCCCTCCTCCCTCCTCTCCTCCTCCTCCCTCCTCCTCCTCCTCCTCTTCTTCTTCTTCTCCTCCTCCTTCTTCTTCTTCTTATTCGTCTTAGTATTCTTATTCTTCTTCTTATTCTTCTTATTATTATTCGTAGTATTATTCTTCTTATTCTTCTTCTTATTATTCTTCATATTATTCTTCTTCTTATCATTCGTATTATTATTAGTATTATTATGTTGCTGTTTCTTCTCAGTATTAACATTATGTTTGTTATCATGCATATTAGTATGATTAGTATTACTAGTAGTATTAGTATTCTTAATATTGTTGGTAGTAGTAGTTTTATTAGTATTATTACGATTACTAATATCATTAATATTATTATTAGTATTATTATTATTATTATTGATATTATTATTATTAGTATTATTATCAGTATTATGATCATCAGCATCACCATCATTACTATGACTAGTATTAGTATTATCCTCCTCTTCTTCTTATTATTACTACGCTTATCATTATTAATATAAATATTATTATTATTATTCGTATTCATGGCATTTCCATTATTACGCTCAATATTATCATTATTCCAACTCCTCATATTCCTCCTCCGCCTCCTCCTCTTCTCTCCTCTCTCCTCTCTCCTCTCTCCTCTCTCCTCTCTCCTCTCTCCTCCCTCCTCTCTCTCT